GGTAGGATAACGGTTATAGAAATTTGCTGTAGACAACTGGACCAGAAAGAACAAGTTGAATTTGGAATACTTTGAACAATCAAAGAAGACAAATAGGAAGGACAGAAAGTAGATATGAGCGATTTCAACTGTCCAGAACGGTTTAGGTTTGGGAGGTGGGCCACATGAATCAATTGATGTACATTACTTTACCCGGCACATCTTGTTTCCAACTTGACTTGATGCTTGATGATCCATTAACTCCTCTGAGCCATCTGCAGGATGTTTCCTCTCCTCACACTGTGTTATCTCACAGCTATTTATCACTTTGTGTCAACTGCATCATTCCGGCTCAGTGGTAGCAATCTTGCCTGTGAGCCAAAATGTTATGGGGTCAAGCCAGCATGTCAGGACTTTGAACTCACTCCAATACAGTGCTGAGGAAGCATCCGACAGATGAAACGTTAAACCAAAGTCCTGTCTGCTTCTTCAACAACAGCAACTTGCACTTATATAGCACCCTCCATGCATACAGCATCACTAACCAAGATTGCACGGGTGAGCAAATTATTCAAGTGGATGTCAAAAATCTCCTGGCTTTATTGAACAACAGAAGGGAGTTTCTCCTGGTGTCATGGCCAACAATCCCCCAGATAAAACTGTTCATTAACTTCATCGCTGTTTCTGGGACTTGCTGCGCACACAATGCCTGCCAACTTTGCTTACAAAATGTACAGTCACGACACTTTTAAGAAAATACTGTGAAGCACTTTGGAACGGTCTCTCCCGAAATGAGAGATGCAATATCAAATGCAAAGGTTATTCTGATTGGACAACAACAAGTGCAACAACAAAATTACATGTGTATAGCACCTTTCACGTCGGGAGGACCGGCCAAGGCGCTGGACAATCAGTGTTTCTGACCCGAGCTTGGGGTCGGTGATCAGGGAGAGTGAATGGAAGTGGGGGAAGGAGGATGATCGATGGCACGATCGAAAAGGATGGTCTTGAGATGGGTATTGAAGAAGGCAAGGGAGGGGGTGAGGTGGAGGGCCTGCAGGATGGAGTTCCAGAGGGTGGGATTAGAGTGGCTGAAGACCCACCCGGTGGGCCAGATGAGATGGAGGACATGAAGCAGGCCGTAGCCCACTGAGCGGAGAGAAGTTGGTAGGGAGAGGAGGTCGCAGAGGTAGTGGGGAGCAAGGCCATGGAGGACTTTGAAGGATCTTGAACTGTATCCTCTGTGTGATGGAAAGCCAGTGGAGTCGGGCGTGGATAGGGCTGATAGGGTCACGGAGCCTGTTGCGGGAGAGGACACGAGCTGCAGTGTTCTGGATGATTTGCAGCTTGTGGAGGGAGTAGTTGGGGAGACCGACAAGAGGGAGTTTCCGTAGTCAAGCCTAGATATTACGAGTGCGTGTATGAGGGTTTCGGCGGACTGCGGTGTGAAACAGTGACGGAGCAGGGTGATGTTGTGGAGGTGGGGGAGTCAAAGCAGGTCATGGCATGGATGTGGGATAAAAAGGATAATTGAGGGCCAAAGAAGATATCAAGGTTCTGGACTGGCTTAATAAGGTGGTGAATGCATCCTTGGATGGTGATACTGTCAGTGCCTGAGGTGTGGAGGCGCTGACGGGAGCTAAGCAGGAGAGCCTCGGTCTTGTTGACATTCAATTGAAGAAAGTTAGCTCTCATCCAAGATTTGATGTCTGACAGATATTCTGACAGTGGTCCTGGAGTCAAGGGTGGAGGCAGAGAGGTAGAGTTGGGTGTCATCCACATACATGTGGAAGTTGACCCCATGTTTGCGGATGATGTCACCAAGAGGGAACTTATCGATACTGAAGAGGAGGGGACCAAGGAGAGGAACATTGCACTAGATGGTGCGGGGGCTAGAGGGGAAACCGTTCACGGAGATGGTGGAGACGGTCTGAAAGTTAGGATATGAACCATTCAAGGACAGAACCATGAAGGCTGAGATCAGAGGACAGGCGGTGGAGGACAATAGACTGGTCAACGGTATTGAAGACAACAGAGAGGTCAAGGAGGACGCGACAAGGGGATAGAAATTGCGGCTTTTGATGCAATCACTCTCACCGCTGATAATTATCACGTCCCACACTTGTACCATTCACACCCTCAAAGTGTGAAGGAAAAATTCAAGTAAGGAAACAACAACAACAACAAAATTACATTTGTATAGCGCCTTTCACGTCGGGAGGACGTCCCAAACAACTTATAACAGGCAAACCACTGCATTAAGTAGTTACCGCAATACGCATAGAATGATTTAAAAGAGCTTGAAAATATATTTTATTACAAGAGAAAACAAGTTACGAACCGCTGGACAGGTATATTAAAGGATAACATATTTCAGGGAAATAAAACACACGGAGAGAAGATGGGAATCAGGGCAGGTAGATTGCAACAAGCCAGCCATAAGCTTTCCAATTCTCCAGTGTTTTCTAAATTGATAACTAAAGCTAAGATTACATTTCAGTGAGTAAATCCAGAGAAATACATAACTTGTCAAGAAATGTTATACTCAAATCAAAATTTCTCCACACTCCGATAAATCTGTAATATTTGGAGTGTCAGCCGTTTAATGGTTATTCCACAACTACATTACAGCTCAAAACAATTTGCATTTTATAACCCAGCAACAAAGATATCCTATCAAAGCTAATATCAAGGATAGCTAAAATACAGTCAATGTTAAAAAAAGACAATTGGGAAATTAATTGACCATTTTTCAATGTTATTGTTATTGAATTTTGTAACTGGAAACCTGTGTCCTCTTGTCCCGCTGTCTTGCTGCATCTGCAGGGGCTGTTCTCAGTTTAACAACAAGAAATTACATTTGTATAGCACCTTTAGTTTACATTCTCAATCGCAGTTCCAAGTTTACATTCTCAGTACCTTGTGGTCAGAGTACTGACTAGCTCGTCCTGACCACACAGGTACATGGAAAGAAAGAACCTTTATAGCATCTTATGACATTGAAACGTCTCGTAGTGCTTCACAAGATATGATGTAGTGATCGTTCTGCTAGGACTCTGTGCCAGAAAACTGTCTTAGTCGGCGTGAATGATCAATTAAAATCTTATATGATGTTGGTGAGGTTTGAATGCACATTGGTACACAGCCTGATTGAGAATTAACTCTGTTGGTGAATCCCATCTCTCCTGTGTAAGTATCTCCCCGACCAGAGGAGAGACTCAGACTCCAGTCGGAAGACTTCGATTTCAAACCTCACGTCGGGACTTGAGCTCAGGGACTCCAGTGTGCAATAATAATAATAATTCTTGCATTTGATATAGCGCCTTATCACATCTTCGAGACGTCTAAAGCACTTCACAGAATGTACTGTAAAGTGAATTGGCTGCATATGTTGTGAGCGAAATACGGCAGAAAATTGCGAACAGCAGTGTCCAACAAACAGTCGTGGATTGAAGTGACCAATTTATTATTATTAGTTTTAATTTAATTTATTTGTGAAGGGATTATTACCCCCAGAAAAGCGATCTGCCAATCAACTAACAACCGGGTTCCTACATACCGCTAGGTGAACAGAGGTGTGTGGAGTAAGGAAACTTGGCTAAAGTTTTGCCCTGCCGGGAATCGAACCCAGGTCCTCTCGTTTGCGAGGCAAGTGCTCTAACCACTACTGTTACAGGATTCCACATGCAATTCTTGTTGCATCAGAGTTCTGGCCAAACTGAGTAGAGGTGACCGTGAGATAGGTTCAGCACAAAGCTCAGTAGAATGGTCGTTAAAAGTCATATGAGCATAACAATAAAGGACACGACAATATTTAAACAACTCAGGGGGAGGAAACTGAGGCGGACTAACTAATGAATGAGCAGCCCACTGGGGACCTCAGCCTTCGAACCATGTTATTAGAAGTGAAGGGATCATGAGACTAATTTCAATTATTATTTCAAACTCAGTGTTAGAAGCAAAGTCAATCCAAAGCAACAAAATCAATGAGTTGAAACGTATTTCAGATGTGAGGTGCTTCAGGCTCTCCAAAAGCATAAAAATCAAACCTTATTTCAAGACAGAGGAACAGCCACAAGCACTTCTCCTTCACACAGGGTTACATAACAGAGCACTGGACACGGCAGTTAGAATCCTTATACAAGCGCCGGTCAGGCCAACTATTGGTGCAAATCTCTCTGATATAAACATATTCACAGGAAGGGTTCGATGACTCCTATCTCAGTGTTAGCTCAGATCAATTGGTAGGCCAGAAGGTTGCGGGTTCAAGCCTCAAGTTGGGACTTGATGTCACAGTGTGTCTAGACTGACAGTGCGGCTCTGGGGAGCACTGGCTTGTCGCTTTTGCTGTCTTTCATGTGAAACATTAAGTGGTGAGATCCTGTCCGCCTGGTCTAGAGGATATTCTATTCAGAAAGGAAAGGAACTTTCTCTAGGTGTCCTGGCCAACAATCTTCCAGATTAACTGGTCATTTACCCCATGACTGAGAGAGCTTCCTGGCATAGAGGCCCAGTAGAACAATCACTACACAATAACATATGAAGCACTGCAGCACTGTGAGACATTTCAATGTCACAATAAAAGTTCTTTCTTTCCATGTATCTATGTGATCAGGACGTGCTGGTCAGTACTCTGACCACAAGGCATGTAACGTAAAGGTTGGTGCGAGTGCAGGCGAGGTGTGTATATTCAGAACAACAACTACAACTTGCATTTATACAAAGCACTTCATGCAGGGCAGCGTCTCGGAAGGTTTAACAGTCACGAAGCCTGATGGCTTTCCAACCACGTGTTAAGAAAGAGCAGTTGGGAAGCCACAGGAGCCTAACAACAACAACAACAACTTGGATTTTCATAATGTACTCCACACAGGATCCAACCCCCTGAATCCAACCCCCTGATGAATCTAACCCATTCCAACAGTCCATCAGTTCTGAGCAAACAGCTTCCGACATTTCACTGAGGAGCCTAAGATGTCGGTTGTAACTAGGGCGGTTCACTTTTCATTCTATTTTTGTAGAAAACACAGCTGGAATCCTAACGCAGAGGAATGGCTTCAACCGGCGAGAGCAGGATATCTACTTTCTCCCGATCTTGGTGGTGGACAGCGGCCCCCCGGCCCTGAGCAGCACAGGGACCCTCACCATCCGAGTGTGCGGCTGTGACAGCCACGGCACCATCCAGTCATGCACTGCGGCCGCCTACGTTGTTTCACCCGTCCTGAGTCCTGGGGCGCTCATCGCTCTGCTCGTCTGTATCCTCATACTAATCGGTAAGCGACTCAGCCGGACACAAAAGCCTCATCGTATATTACCATCCGTTCGCCTACAAATACGATGCAAAATTCGATTTGTGTAGCAGCGTTCACATCAGGAGGATGTTCCAAGCCGCTGGTCCTCCCGACATGAAAGGCACTATACAAATGTAACATTGTATTGCATTTTGTAAATACACAGTCACCACACGTCGCACCCCCTGACACTCCATCCCTGAATGCTGAATCCCTCTGCTTAGCCCCCCCCCACTTTCCTTGCCTTCTTCGAGGCCCACCTCAAGACCTCCATCGTTGGCCATGCCTTTGGCCACCTTCCCATCCCCACTCAAATCGGCTGCGGATTTCGCCCGCAAAACACACAGTGAATCCACTTCACAGTATATCTGCGAAGCGCTTTGAGACACCCTGACAATGTGGTAAGGCGCTCTATTAAACCCAAGGATCGTTATCAATATTATTATTAGCCTGCGAGGGCTTTGACACGTGTTCCTGATGTGTAAAAGCAGAGCTATGAAACGCCAGCATTATTAGTATAATTACAATACAAATAAAACAGAGACGGCTGGAGGGCAGGTTGCTGACAGCCTCTGTTTCCTTCCGTTCCAGTGTTGGTTCTCCTCATTCTAACCCTGAAGAGACACAGAAAGGGTCACATCATCCCCGAGGACGAGGAAGACATGAGAGACAACGTCATCAAGTACAACGACGAGGGCGGAGGGGAGGAGGACACGGAGGCCTACGACATGACCACGTTAAGGAGCCTGTATGATTTCACCGAGGTGAAGGCAGAGGCCGGCTTGACGCCAGAGCTCCACTCTCTGCCGCAGTGGTTTCAGAATCCCAATGCGGATTTCTCAGTTTTTAGGAGTTTTGTGTGTAAAAAGCTGGAGGAGGCTGACGCGGATCTCTCCGTCCCTCCATACGACTCTTTTCAAACGTACGCATACGAAGGCACTGACTCTGTGGCCCAGTCTCTCAGCTCCATTCACTCTCTGTCCAGTGACTCGGAGCAGGACTATAACTATCTCAGTGACTGGGGACCGCGGTTCAGACAGCTGGCCGGACTTTACTCAGGAAATCAGGAAGACGATGGATCCTAGCATTACCATTTGACGTTCCTTTTTCCCCCTTTTATCGCAGAACAATACAAAATCCTTCCCCGGTTCGAGTTGTGTCGCTTAAAAAACAAAACCCTTGTTAGCCAGTATTTGGGAAAGATCGCAAACAATCTGTTTTGCAAAAGCAAGAGCGAATCCCGACCTGGGAATCGACCGTTTCTTTCCTTATTGTGGTCACACGATGCCAATAAAAAGGAAAGATTATGCACAAGTTATTGGCAATTATCCCAGTTCAAATGTTTCGAAAACCCTCCCCTCCCTCATATTCCTGTTAAGGTTGGGTAATTGTTGTACAAGGGCATCACGCTGGCACTCTGGTCACACAAATTACAGGCGAGGTCACTCCTGAGTAATGGTACGACGAGAGAGAGACGGCAACTCAGAGTTAAGAGCGAGACTGCAGTGCGGAGGGTTCTGAGGGCTATTGGTTCGTCATATCTGAAGTTCAACTTAATTTATTTGCAACCAATCACTCGAAAAAAGACTTTTTAACAATTGTCATCTCTAAAGCTTTTTTTTCATTTGTATAGACGGCTGGAAATTTGCACAGACTCAGGTGGACGTGTACTCACCTTGCCCCCACATGGTGAATTTGAACTCACAGTCTAGGCTGATGCTCCAGTGCAGTACTGGGGAAAGTGGCAGCCCTACATTGCCAGACAAGATGTTAACCCGAGGTCCCGTCTGTACCTGTTCAGGTGGACATTGAAGATCCCATGGCGTTATTCGAAAAGAGAAGGGATTTCTCCCCATTGTCCTGACTAGCAATCCCCCCAGAAAAGATTAGTCGTTCAGTTCAGGGCTTTTTGTGGGACATTGCTGTGTGCAAATTAACTTGCCATGTTCATCTACAAATACACATTTTACAGAAAACCCACTGAAGCATTTTGAGACAAGTTAGCATGATAAGACACTATATCAAATACAGGAATTATTAGTACGGTATTGCCAACCTCAACGGTGTGTGGTCAAGTGGTTAAGCAGCCATGAACAGCTGCCCGAACCAGAAAACTAGGAATTAAATTGCACAGGCCCAGGTAGATGAGTGGACGTACCAGAATTGTACTGATTTAAAGCACACAGTCAGGGTAAAATTAGTCATTGAAAAAGTAATGTAGGAGCAAAACAAATTACACCAGTTCCTTCCAACATCACTTATTAGAATAAAATCCAGATTAAGAGTCTGTGAAGTCCGTTTTAAACATCTGAGGATTCCCCCATTGAGGTGCACACTCACTGCTGGGCATTGCAAACCAGCGAAAGGTGGATATTGCTATTGGCCTCTGATCCAATGACTATTTCTAAGGTGGAAATAGCAACTCCTGCTAGTGACTCCCACGGGATTGTCACTCCACAGGCCGATTGTGTCGGAGACGAGTTCCCGCTGGTCAGCCCGATGCTCCTCTGGTGATGAGACTCCTGTGTCACACTGAATCCACATGTATCTGCGCTAGTGGGTTGCTGTGTTTGGGATACAGATTGGAGCCAAGGCAAGTTACCAACACTCCTTTGGGTGGCGAGACATCGACAGGTGTTGATACCGTTCAGTCCATCAATTGAAAAAAAAATCCTCTTTTTTTCGTCTCGATCAGTTTGAGACATTGCTCACATCCATGAACTATCAGACCCTCTGGGACCAGCTCACAATCTTCTCTTGGCCTCTGTATTGTGAGCCTTGGATTCTCGGATGCACCCGCTAGTGTTTCAATTCATTTGCTGAAGTTTACTTGTTGTACGGTTTTTAATGACAAAATTCGAAGCACTCATCCAAGCTCCCGGGACACAATCTACAGGAGCGGATGTTTAAACTGGTTCCGCTCTTCTGGACTCTTCCTTTGCCTGAGTGAGACACACACCTAGAGAGTTGACATTCAGTGATTTACAGACACTCTCTTGGCAGGACATTTTGAGGCGTGATGTCAAACACTGCTCCCAACGACGTGTGCTGCTTTCAAGTTATTAAAAGAAACCCTTTGATCACTTCACAACAGGACAAAAGTTGTGAAGGTGTTGATTGAAGACTGGAGACAGACTTCCCCCAGCTAAGACACCCACTCCCGCCACCTACGAAGACACGACTCCCATTGCTTCCCCTCATAAACGTCACAAGTCATGAGCAAGAGAGAGAGAGAGAGCGAACATTTTGGACGGTGTCGACTCTTAAAAAGTTCACAGAGCATGGCTTTTTGTACAGAACAATGCTGTCATGAGGTCTTGTGTGTGTAAGTGTGTGGGGTGTGAGTGTGTGTGTTGAGTGTGTGTATGAGTGTGTGAAATGCAAGTATCTGCATCCATCTCCCCCTTTCGGTGTAAAATACAACAGAATTGGTACTTTTTTAACCCTCTTCCATCACGCACCCCAGCCCCGACTCTCTCCTCTTCCCCCGTAATAATGACAAATGGGAACAAAAAATAGTAAAAAGTAAAATATTTCTGGTGCTAGGTTCAAGGTTTTGAAACTGGGGTAATCCGAAAATAAAAAAAAATTTCAATATTCATCTTTATGTGACTTATGACGTTGGTTTGTGTCTTGGTCCGAGGTTCCAACATATGAAATCGAGAATCTTTACTGTAACCAACCCAATAGAGTCAGTCAAAAGCCAGTGCTGGGCTGGACTTATTGCACGTTTATTGCACACAAAATCAAAGTGGTTTATGGCAGTCCCTCAGAAGGATGTTTGAGTGAGAGCAGGAGAATGAAACAGATACTCAACCTTTATGCTTAGTTTTCGTTACACTGTATAATAACTGCTATGAATTGTTTGTTTCCTTCAAGTGAATTCAACCTGTTTTGCCCATCAACAAAATCATTGCAAACCAGCCTTCATCTCTCAGGATTTGAGGGGCTGCATTGGGGGAGGTGCCATCGTTCAGATGAGACCAGGATTAAACCCTGTTCAGGTGGACGCTTTCGATATAGTGGCAGTACTCATAAAAGGAAACAAGTTTCTCTCTCCCAGTGTTCTGGCCAACAATCCCCAAGATGAAATTGTTCATTCTCTTCATGGCTGTTTGTGGGACATTGCCATGTGCAAAATGACTGCCGCAAACGCCCACAAAACACACAGTCACTGCACTTTGCAGTAAATCCGGTTAAGCGCTTTCAGATGTCCACCTGAGGGGCAAGGCGCTATGACAATTATAAGAACGTGTTATTTGCCATTATCGATTTTGGTTGGTAACAAAAAAATGAACACTAAATCGTTTCAATTGTATAGATTTTGTTAAAAAAATCAATTTAGAAATCAAATTATTTCAATTGTACAGATTCTGTTGAAACAATTCTATTAAAAAGTCAAAATCATTTCGATCTGAAATCAAATCATTTCAATTATTTAAACGAAAGACAACTGAAGCAAACTACATTGCTTCTTTAACAGTAAAATTAATCTCCACGCGGGTGGGGGTGAGGGTGAAAAGGAGAGGGGGTTATATATTAAGGTAAACCTTACTAAAAAAAATATTTTATTTTGATATATTAAGGATGTTAAGGAGCTCAGTTGAGGCATGGGGAAAGAGCAAGAAGTTGGGATTAGGGCAAACGGCTTCACAGAAATAACAACAACAAATTATGCAGTGGTTTCACGCAGGGAGGACTTCCCAACGTGCTGGACAATAAGGGGTTTGCACCCGAGCTGCGGGTCTGACCGTAGGTACTTTATGCTATATTCTGTGAAGTGTTTGAGATGCTAATTCAAATGCAAGGATTATTATTATTATTATGAGGATAGTCACTGGTTGGTAATTTGACAAGCATCAGTTTGAGCCCTCACTAGGTGGATGGCACAGAGAGGAGTAGACAGCGAGGGGGGTGGTGGTGGGGGGTGGGGGGGGGAGAATACTGCGAGGGGAGAGGACTGTGAGAAGGGTTCAGAGAGGAGATGTGATCAGTCCATGAATAAACGCCAAATCTAAATATGTGTCACTTTGTGGAATTGTAAGAACAAGATGTTCACAGGAAGATTGGCGACTGAAAGCTGCATCGCTCTGTGTCCTGTGGCTGAGAACACGTGTCGGCTGCTGGCTAACGTCCTCATCGTGGTTGCTGATTATATTGTGTCCCACTTACTCTGATAACTTTCTATAAAAAGGCACTCTTGTCCCTCTGCTGTATAAATCAAAGTGGGATGATGGTCCTTAAAGGAGACATGTCATCCTTGGGGGGATGTATAAGCAGGTAAGGAATTCCAGTCATCCTGGAATCGACTCAGGTCTGATCAAGAACAATGTTGTTCACTACTGTATTCACAGAGCGGGAATGAGAGAGAGAATAGGAGGGAAAGAGAGAGAGCAAGGGAGGGAGAGAGGGGAAATGAGCGACTGGTACTGAAAGTAAATAAAGTGGGAATTGGTGGAGGTTTTGGTGGAAACTCGATTGGTTTACTGGAAGAACCCAGAGGGTGGTGGAACAGGGAATGTCATCAGACTGGGAAAATGTTACCAGTGGAGTTCCACAAGGGTCTGTTTTGGGACCTCTTTTGTTTAGTATTTTTATAAATTATCTGGAACTAGGAGGCACAAGCACAGGGGCTACATTCGCAGATGACACCAAGCTAATGAAAGTGGTAGTTTGCGAAGTTGAACAAGATAGGTTACAGGAGGATTTAAACATACTTGGAAATTGGGCAGATCGATGGCAGATGAAATTCAGTGTGGAGAAATGTAAAGTACTTCACATGGGACCGAAGATCCTGGAAGGAACTATTATTTGAATGGAAGGAAAATAATATATATGGGAAATGAAAAGGACCTGGGGGTCCTGATTGACAATAAATTGAAGATCTCCCAACAATGCTCTATGGCAGTGAGTAAAGCAAACCAGATGTTGCGATGTATCAAAAGATTAATAGCTGGTCAAAATAGTGAGGAAATCTTGCCAATGTATAACTCATTGGTGAGACCATACTTAGATACTGTGTACAGTTCTGGTCACCGCAGTACATAACAGGATATTGGAGAAATCGAGAAGGTACAGAGGAGGGCAACCAAAATGATTGAGGGAATGGAAGCAATTCAGAATAAATCGAGGTAGTTTGGGACATATGTGCGTGTGACAACCAGGAAGTGGAAGGCGAACTAGATGGACCTTGGTCTTTTTCTGTCTAGCATTTCTTATGTTCTTATGAGCGAGGGTGAGAGGGAGAGAGCAAGGGAGAGAAAGAGAATGAGCAAGAGAAAGAGAGAGAAACAACAAGCGAGAGAAAGAGAGAGGGAAAAGGAAAGAGAGAGAGAGAGAGAGTAAGGGAGAGAGAGAGA